GGAATTCTAATTTGGACTTTTTGCCCAAAGAGATGCTGCCTTACGAGTCCACTGCCCTCCCCCCCCCACACACACACAGGAAGTGGATTTTCCTTCCAGGTGACACTCAGGGACCATCAAAGCAATGAGATTGTTGGAGTGCTTTGCCCAATACATCCAGACTTGTCTCACACTATTTGCAATGGCCAACACAAATAGATTCAGTGAAACCAGCGGTATCTAGGCCCAACTGTCTGCAACCCTGCAGCCTTGAAGAAACCATAACCCTGGTGAGCCTGGATCACTATACATTTAAGCTCTGGCTTTGGCACTCTGCCTGTGAGTATGCGCTCAACCATCCATCCACTCAACGCTCCTTCTTTCTGCTCCACACCTTCCCTGTGCAGCCAAGAATCAGAATTTCCACACTAAATCCCACTATGGGTACAAAGAGAGGGAAGCACGAACAGCAGATCAACCTGAGTCCTGCTACATGGAGTTTTAAACGGGGAAGAATGAGGAAATAAAGCAGCCCTGAGTTACCTTATAGAATGTCTAACCTAAGCTGGGCGCCGGTGGCTCATGCCTGTAATCCTAGCTACTCAGGAGGCTGAGATCTGAGGATTGCCATTCAAAGCTAGCCTGGGCAGGAAAGTCCATGAGACTCTTAAAAATTAAAGCCAGATGTCGAGCGAATGGCTCAGGTGGTAAAGCACAGGCTTGAGTGAACAAGCTCAGGGACAGTGCCCAGGCCAAGTTCAAGCCCCATGATGGCATACATACACACACACACACACACACACACACACACACACACACACATGTTTCTAGTGAGAACTTGGAAGTTAATGGGGAATATATGATGGAACTTGAAGAGAATTCTTGTTACATGGTGCCAGCAACCTAAGAGGAATCATGTCCTGCTGGGTAGAAAGTATAAGCAGTGTACTTGAATGATCAGCTGAACAGATTTCAAAGAAACGTATTGAAGGTGAATCCAGTTTCCTTTTTCTGTTTACAGTAAAGTGAAAAAGAAGAGAGACAAGCCATAAGAACAGTCAGCCCAAAAAGAATCAGAACTTAATGATTTGAGAACTGCTCAGCTTACCTTAGTCAGTTCAGATCGCTATAACAAAATACCTTAGACTATGTGATGTGTAAGCAACAGAAATGTATTCCTCTTGGTTCTAAGGCAAGATCAAGATCCATATCTGGCCAGGTGCCAGTGGCTCACATCTGTAATCCTGGCTACTCAAGAGGCTGAGAGCTGAAGATCAAAGCCAACCCAGGCAGGAAAATCTGTGAGACTCTTATCTCCAGTAAATTTTTTTTAAGCTGGAAATGGTGCTATGGTGCTGTCAAATAGTAGAGCACTAGCTTCAAAAGAAATTCAAGAACAATGCCCATGCCCTGAGTTCAAGCCCCAGGACTAGCAAAAAAAAAAAAAAATCCAGGGCTTGGAATGTGGCTTAGTAATAGAGCCTTGCCTAGCATGCATGAAGCCCCAGGTTCGATTCCTCAGCACCACATAGACAGAAAATGCCAGAAGTGGTGCTGTGGCTCAAGTGGTAGAGTGTTAGCCTTCAGCTGAAGAGTTCAGGAACAGCACCCAGGCCCAGAGTTCAAGCTCTACAACAAAGAAAGACAGAAAGACAGGAAGAAGGAAGGAAGGAAGGAAAGAAAGTGCGATCCATATCTGGACATTCACACACAGTGAGGTCCAAGGAAGACAGTCTTAGGAGAGGAACACAAAGCCTCAATGCCTATGTGCATCAGATCATATAAAATAATATTTACAGAAATGAACTCTAGGAAATGGAAACAAGAGGTTTATCTTTGTTGCTGTTTTCATTTTCTTTTTGTCTTGTTTACTCAGTTATTTGTCTTTGGGAGGAAAAGGGGGGGACACAGAAATGGACAAAGGGGAACAAATGCAACAGTGGTACTCACTGGACACTGTGCTGAAAAGGAACTATACAACTTGGGGGTGAGGATGGGAGAGAAAAACAGAGAGGGAGGGAGAGAGAGAGAGAGAGAGAGAGAGAAAGGGGTTACATTGTCCAAAAACAAATGAACTCATTACCTGACTTATATAACCGTAACCCCTCTGTACATCACCTTTATAATAACAATGAAAAACAATTCTTTAAAAAGATCCAGGCTGGGGGGCTGGGAAGGTGGCTCAGTGGTAAAGCGCTTCCTTGTATGCATGAGGCCATGGGTTCGATTCCTCAGCACCACATAAGCAGAAAAGGCCAGAAGTGGCGCTGTGGCTCAAGTGGTAGAGCACTAGCCTTGAGCTGAAGAGCTGAGGGACAGCGCCCAGGCCCAGAGTTCAGGCCCTACAACCGGACCCAAAAAAAAAAAAAAGATCCAGGCTGGGATAATAACAACAAAATAATAATTTTATAATAACAATGAATAACAATTTTTTAAAAGATCCAGGCTGGAAAAAATATACAATAAAGGGGCCCATCAGCACTGGACATTGATGAAAATGAACTAAGCAACGCAACAGCAATGATGGGAGGGAGGGAATGAGAGGGAAAGAGGGAACAGCTGACACTAAGCAGGAGGAAGGAAATGTATATATCACCCGATGTGGACGAAATAGTTGTATTGTCAAAGCTCATAGAATTCACAAACTTTATAGACCATGATAATGACAACTTGCCTTGTGAAGGTTGGAATGTATTTGTGACTTTAAGTACCACTATCCTACAATACTGTGAAATTTGTGAAATTTATGTAATCACTTAATCTCAATTAAAAAATATATTAAAAAAAAAAAGATCCAGGCTGAGGACATGGCCTAATGCTAGAGTGCTTGCCTAGCATGCATAAAGCCCTGGGTTCCATTCCTCAGTACCACATAAACAGAAAAAGCCAGAAGTGGAGCTCTGACTCAAGTGGTAGAGGGCTAGCCTTGAGCAAAAGAAGCTCAAGGACAGTGCTCAGGCCCTGAGTTCAAGCCCCAGGACTGGCAAGAAATAAAAATAAAAAAATAAAAGCTCCATATCTTGCAAGGCTTGCCTCTGCGTCCAAGATGGCACATTCTGGCTGGGCCCTGTCATGGAGGAATGAATGAATGAGGTGTATACATGGCAAAAAGGCAAAGGGCATAACTCCCTCCCTGGAGCCCATTCATAACTGCACTAATCCCAACAGACCCTACCTCCTATTATATCACAATGATTAGGTTTTGACATGAACTGTGGAGATACATGTTCCAACCACAGCCATATTCTGTAGTAAAGGGCGCTAATCTGAAGGGTTGCTCTAGCCCAGCTGAGCCCCTGGCCACACAGTTGCCAAAGCAAACGACCTCAACCACCTACTAGCCAGATGATTGGAAAAAGTATCATTTGGAAAATGGACAGGCTACTATGTGATTTTTTGTTTCTTTGTTCTTCCCCCATGGTACAACCCCTGCTGTCACCGTATTTGATTCAGCTGTCCTGCATCTTGTATATACATTTTTCTAATTGGGGAGGGGAAGGGAAATAACAAATGCTGAAATAAGGATGTAGGTTGACCCACTGTAACGATGAGATGTACAAGACAGTATGTTGAAAACAAACTTTACAACTTTGGGGGGGAGGGAGGAGTTGGGGAAGTGGAGAGGAAAGGAATGGTAAGGGAAAAATAAAGGAGGATGTAACAATGCTCAATAGGAAATGGACTCATTACCTTACTCTGTAACTGTAACCCCTCTCTCTGTACAGTATCTTTACAATAAAAATATATATTAAGAAAAAGAAAAGAAAATGGACATGCTAACCATGCTTACTCAAGTTGTCCTTGTGAAAACTGAATGAATTAAAATACGTAAAGTACAGAGTCATCTCTATTTAAAGTATTTGCTGTTACGTCCATTCATTTAGAGAGCCAAATCGTTTTTGGGAAACATCTCCTAGCTTACTCTAGTTCATGCTTTCTCCAAGGACCCTCCCCCCACACACACAAACACACATACTCTATTCTAAGGTACAGCGTGAGACCTAGATTAAACCACTAGGCTCTTTTCAAGTGAATGTCTAGGTGGACACGTGAGATAAGCCAGTCTGACCACCAGGAACAGTAAGAGAGGCTGAAGATTCTGAAACAGAGCCAGTCTCTCACACTTCCCAGTGGGACAAGTATATGGAATGGCTGAGATGCTGGCATATTGGGACATGGAGAGCCAACCTTCAGAGGAGGATACCTTAGGAAAGAAACAGAAATTGAGTGTTTAATGCCATCCCTAGATTTCTAGACACAGCTTCAACCATTTACCTGAGCCCTTTATTACTTCAGCCACTTTGAGTTGATCTGTCATCTAGAGTCAAGTATCCTAAACAGGCAAAATGAATCTAGAAGTGATCAAGGCAGTTTGTGGGGCCAGGGAGGCCAATTCCAAGGCACAGTGTAGGTGCAGGCTGTTGATTACCAAGTACCCTTACAACCAATAACTGGGGAAAGGTCTGGCAGCTCTGGCTCAAGCCAGGAATCCTACTACTCAGAAGACTGAGAGGTGAGGATCACAATGTGAAGCCAGCCCAGACAGAAAAGTCTGTGAGACTCTCATCTCCCATTAACCACCAAAAAGCAGGAAAAGGGACCAGACAGTACATCTCTGAAGGGTATGCAATGCAGAGCTGTGCACACAGCTCTATACTGGAGTGTGAGTTTGATCCGCATCCCTCTGCAAGCTGGGGAACAGTGGTGGACCGTGAGATGGCTGGCCTAGAAGAGGGATGCTCGTTCCCAGGGAACTCATCTCAAGGAGTCTCCTGCCTAAGCGCCATCTCAGCAGACCTGGGTGCAACTGGAAGGGAAGCTGGGTTCAAGGAAGGTCTATGGAGATGAAGGAGGGCCCTCCGGCCCTCCTGGATGCAGGAGGCACAGTTGCTGCTCCTTACCATCAGGTCAACTCCATTCCTATCAGGGATCCTGTGAAGCCTAGTGTCCCCCCCTCCCCCCTCCCTCCTCCCCACTCTCTTCTTCTCCCCCTGCACACATCTGACCAAAGCAAATGCAAGTCCAGCTTTATTTGGCAGGAAGGAATGGAGGATTCGACTGGCAAGTCGCACCTGGGCCAAGGAGCCCACAGCAACTTTGCCGCCCCAGAGGAGGCAAAAAAAAAAAAAAAAATTAAACAGAAAAGGGAGGGGGGAGAAAGGGGAGGGGCCAACTGCAGATCCAGGTCTGACTGGAGACAGGGTCTTAGAAATAAACCAATCAAAGCCTCGGGTCCTGAGCAGAGCCAGGAAGAGAGGAGCCTGGGGCACCGTCCCTAGAAGAGCAGGTCTTCCATGGGGATGTTGAGGATGACAGCCATGTCTGGGGTGCACCTGGTGGGAAGCAGCAAGGAGGGTAAAGGGCACGTGAGTGCCTAGTGGGGTGGGGAAGTACATTCACCCAAGAGCCCCCAGTTCCTCACAACAGTGATGTTTACTGGAGGGACCCAAACACACACACACACACACACACACCCGCGCACACATGTGTAAATGAAATGTCAAAAAAAGGAAATGAATGTGGCAGGACCAATGTTCCCCTAGAGAGGAGCCGGAGGTCAACAACAGGGAATATTCAGGGTCACAGAGGCCCCAGACTCAGGACAGTCATTCTGTGAGCCAGGACCACTTGCTCTGGGTTTTTCTTTGTCCTCTCCTTCTCCCCCTCCCTCCTTCCCCTCCACCCTCCTTTCCTTTCTCTCTTTCTCTCTCTGATACCAGAGTATGAGCTCAGGGCTCCCCTTTGGGCCATACTCTATCACTGGAGTCAAGAGCCCAGCCTTCCCCAACAGCCCACCTAGTCAGCACATGGACTCAGGAGTCTAGCAGGGTCCGTAGAGACTATATAACCCAGCCTCTTGGACATAACAACGAGAGCCAGGCACTAGTGGCTCACACCTATAATCCTACTCAGAAGTCTGAGATCTGAGGGATGCTGTTTGAAGCCAGCCCAGGCAGGGAAGGTTACGACTCTTCATCTCCAATTAACCACCAGAAAACTGGAAGTAAAGCTGTGTTCAAAGTGGTAGAGCACTAACCTTGAGCAAAAAAGCTCAGAGAGAATGCCCAGGCCCTGAGTTCAGGCATGACCAACCCAAGAAAACAACAACAACAGGAGAATGAGGTCCAGAGATGGGACAGGTCACAGGTGCCAGTGGCAAAGCTGAGGTATAGATACCCAGCCGCCTCATCCCTGGATGGGGCTCTGCTGTCTATGTGAGGCTGCTCTCCCTGAGAACAGAGCTTCCCAGAGCCCAAACATGGATGGCTATAACGAGATCATGTACCTGGGTCTCCGAAGAAGAACATCCTCAAAAACGATCTCTCGGGGGTCCAAGATCTGGGACTGAGACTCCTTCACCTCATCAGCTAGTACGGGCATTTCCTCCTTCATCTGTTCAATAAACTGAGGGGGAAGACACAGCAGAGGAGACATGAGCCTACTGACCCCCAGTGAAGGTCAAAAGGGTATGGGGGTGTGGGTGGTATATGGGCTTTGTTACTAGCACATGCTGAACTCCAGACAGGAAGCTTCCCTGTTGAGGGCGGGGCTTGTCAAGTGAGTGACAGAGTTCACAGTAGCAAGGGTGAAGGGGTGGACAATGAAGCCATGTTACAACAGGGTTGGAGGGCCAGATTATGAGAATTATGGGAGACTAGGAACTGATGATGGTGCAGTACAATGAAAATCAGTTCCAGAGTGGCTAATGTTCATTAACCCTGAGAATGAGTGGCAGGAAGGAGATGAAGGAGGGGGTTACTGACTGAGCAGGTGATCTATGGTATTGCTAATGGGTCACAGCCAGTGACAAAGGCTCACTGAGGCATGGTCCAGGCCAGCACCAATCCTCTTCCCAGATGAATGGGGACAGAAATGGTAGCTCACACCTGTAATCCTTGCTACTGGAGAGGCTGAGATCTGAGGATCGTGGTTTGAAGCTAGCCCAGACAGAAAATTACATGAGACTCTTGTCTCCAACTAACCACCAGAAACAAGGTGGAAGTGGAGTTATGGCTCAAGAGTGGTAGAGAGCTAGCCTTGAGCAGAAAAGCTCAGAGACAGTGCCCAGGCCCTGAGTTTAAACCCAATAACTGGCACAAGAAGGAGGAGGAAGAGGAGAAGGAGGGGGGAGAGGAAGGAGGAGGTGGAGGAGAAGGAAGGGAGGAGGAAGAGGAGGGGGAGGAGGAGGAGGAAGAGGAGGG